AAGACTCATTGCTCCAAACTGTGCAGAGTGAAGAGGAAGAAAGAAGAAATCTGATCATAGAGGAAGCAGAAGGTGAGTGGTTACCTAGAATGAGAAAAGGCAGCCCAGGACCAGTCAGACATCCATCAAGGGAGTGCTCTGTGGGCCAGGCCAGCCAGGAAAATCAAGACTGGAAGGGTGATGGGAAGAAAGAGACCCAGATGGAAAACAAGCAGACAGCAGGGAAGAAAAGCCATTTAAAGATGCTCAGCTGCACACTGCTTTCTGTGCCAAGGAGCAGTGAAGGGACAAGGATGACTTGGCCTGAACCAAAGCACTGAGGGAGGGAATGGAGTGAGATTTGACAGCTCAGGCAGAACAGAGCAGAGAGGAGACTGGGCAGGAGAGTCTGTAGCCTTCACAGAAACACTTCTTTTGGGCTCAGAACTGAAGCAAAAATTCCTGGCTCCAATCACACTTGTGTGTGGCCTCCCAGAGAAATGTGGAAACAAAAACTGCTGCTTTAGCTCTGAGTTCCTCAGCACCACCTCAGGCACTCGAGTGTCCACACACAGAACATAAAGGATTCCCTCCTGACACACACGTGGGTTCCACACAATAAATACCATCTGCTGTACTCAAAGTTCAACTTTTAGAAACCTCAAGAGAACTTCAGTTTCTCTGAGGCACAAACTGGGCAGTTTGGGACAACTTCTGAGCAGCCTTAGCTCACTTTTTTTGACCAGGTACTGATCAGACACTGCAATGTACTCACAAAAAGTGGCCAGACTAACAGTGCTCAAACCTGGTTCTGCCATTTCCTACCTCCTGAGTGCTTGACTTTGTACAGCCTTAATAAAAGTCTTTTGGAAGTAGCTCTGTGTGGATAATTGTGTGTGGGAAATTTGCCAAGCCAAACATGAGGGAGTTCAAGAGGCTTTTCTAATCTTGTGAGTTTATCCACTAAAGAAAAAGATTTGATTAAAAAAATGAAGTACAGCTAAACTGGGAACAATACTTTACTACAGGCTGTTCTTCATAGGCACTTGGAAATCTTGAAAAAACCCCACAAAATTAGGAACTTATTAAATCAGACTGAAATGTACCAATGCAGAAACATAAACACCAATGCCAGATGTATAATGTCAACTTGCAATATGCAGCCTCAATTAATTCTTCTTAATTCACTTGTTTTCTTAACTTCTTTTGTTTTGCCATCTGGAAAAGGCCATTTTCTACTGACAGATCATAGGAGGAAAGATCCAAAGTTCAAGTTTGCTTGAAGGAAAAGCAGCTTTGTTTCTGTGCTTGCAGACCCCACATTCCTTTTGTGCTTTCACTCATGCAGAAGTTTCAGGACAAACTTAGGCCTGGACTGGGAGGCAAAGAGATCTGTGTGGAAGTTGGTAAAAGTTTTACAAAGTTTTCAAAGGTGAAAGCAGTTGTGTAAGAGAAGATGAAGGCAGAGGAAGCAGCAGAGAGAGTGACAGGCAGAGTCACTCTGAAGTGTTCAGGTGTGTGCTCATCAGTGTGATGTGCAGGAGATTCCTGGATGGCTCTTACTGTGGTGTTTGAAAAATAAACTACATTTACCCAGTAAAAAAAAAAATCAACCCATTAATAAAACAAATTTCAAGCAGAATTGAGCACTGGAAACACTTTGTTCTCTGAAGCTAACCAAAGTGAGGAGCAGCACGATGAGAAGTGTCACTGTGGCACTGACACTCTCTGGGTAAAGTGATGCAGAATACATGAGGCTGCCAGGGTAATACAGAAACTTCACTGGACGTGGTCAGAGGATCAGCACTGCCTGCCTGAGCAGTAAATCCCATGATTTATCTAACTGCAACATGACTGGTACCAGCACTGCATCCCTTGGCCATCTCTGCAGGAAAACAAGCTCGAGAGCTGAGCTGTCCCTGCCCCAGCAATCAGCCTTTGCTCTCTGAAATGCCTAAATATTGGTTTATACAGGGATCTTCTTACTGCATGTATCCCATCACAAAGAACAGGAACCTCCACACATGGTACTGAACTAGGCTCACTCCTGTACACATTACTTTCTTCTTTTTATAGTTGTTTCTGACACAAAAAAAAAGAACGAAAGTCACAAACATATAGACTGAAACTCACCAGCTGACCCTTCTCACCTTGCTCACTGAGGATCTGAGCAGTGGATGCTCACCCATTCCCAAACCATGGCACAGCAGCTCTCCAAGCCCCCACACTGTGCAGTGACCCAGCCCCAACAGGAGGCTCAGAGTGGTGTTTTACATGGGCTTTAATTCCAAACAGAGGGAATTTTTAGCTGTGTTTTCTCAGTTACTTTATATAGCAAACAGAACTGGGGGTATGGCATTTCAGGACATCATGGAGAGCAAGAGAAGTTTAGTTTCAAAACTCAGAGTACTAAAGTCACTATTGTGCCTGAAAATTCAGGGCATTCCAAGCAAGAGCTGGAAGTGCCATACACATTCCCTGAAGGGATAAGAGTTTTCTTCCATGGGCCAACTGCAACATCAAGTACCTTGAGACAGGGATGATCCATTGCTGTGTGTACCACGACGTGAATATGCTGACAAGAATTGCAAGTTCACATCTGCAGCGAATAGAAACCCTTCAGAGTTTATTGGTGAGAAGAAACTCTAGTGATTTGCAAAGTGAAGTTCCAACTTTATCCCACTAACAGCATTTCAGGAGGAAAAAGTAACATGGAATATCACCATCAAGCTATTACAATCCTGTATTTTGAAAAAGAATTACATCATGGTACATCAATCCCTCTGAACATGACACACACGACGTGATCTTGCTCTTCAACCCCCAAGGCTATTCCACAGAAACCTGAAGCTGGATCCTGGCTGGAAGGTGCAGTTGTTCCAGTTGTGCACTCCCAGCTGACAACTGCCAATGCAGAGCAATAGTTATGGTCATTCATGCACGGAGTATTTGCTTTAAGATGTGGATAACTACAGAAAAACAGTAGAAATCTTGTTCCATTCTTCTCCCAGCACTAGGCTTCAAGAGATTTTAGATGTCTATTGACACCAGATTTGCCGAAAGAGAGCACCAAGCAGCCTCTCCCCAAAATCAACAATGACTGTATATGCAAGTAGGCACCTTAAAATAACAGCAAGAACAATAATTAGCTTAATAACTTGATTTCTACTACCATGTATCAATTAGTTTCCTAATATCTGGTGTTGTGTGAGGACCCCAGACAATAATCTTATGTAGAAACTCTATGTTTCATGCAGAACTTCCTAAGATGTACAACGTCCTCCAGAGTAATTCACCTTCTCTGAACACTTCATCAAAACATTTGCTCTGGTGTTGTCATGGAAGGAACAACTTACAACAGATCCGTGTGGCTTAAGAACATCCATCCAATGTATTTTTGCACTGTAGCTACAGACTGGCCTTTTAGGAACCTTGGAAGAAAAAACATCCTTAGATTTCCTTCTACTGCATATGAAAAAAGGGTCTGGTCAGACAGACAGGTAATGAGGATTCCACTCATCAGTCATTTTATTTTAAGCTCAGCAAAAGCAAAGTATTACCCAGAGAGTTCAGGGCTGCTGTCTGTTCAGGCTGTGGTCAAAAACGGTGAGGAAAGACCTCAGGATTTTGTCAAATTCCAAAATACAAGCCGTTAATTGGAGAACCTTGCCCAGGACTGAAGGTGTGGGTCAGCCCCAACTGCAGGATACAGATGTTACCAACAGATCCTTAACTGAAGGTCTCTGTTGTCTCCTTGCTCATGTGTTTGCAGGGAAACTGGCAAATGTGTTTTCTGGGACCTCTTTATAGCCCTGGAGGGCAAACACCAGGAAGAACTTTGCTCATCACTGATTTAGCTCCAGGTTGTCAGAGATCACTGAGAAGTGACTCCTGAACACTGGAGGGAGGACTCACTTGACAGCTCCCTCTCCCTTCAGCAAAGCTTTTCTCAAATACATTCTTCAGAGTCATGAAATTCTGCAGCATCACTTACATCTCACCTTTCTGGAAAGGTTCTTTGAAAGTTTCATTAAAAAGTTTTCTTTAGCTTCTGCTGCCGCTCAGAAAAGTCTCTTTGCTCGGTCGGTTCTGCCCAATTTGTCCCACTGAACTCACTGCTTTGCTCCTTCCAGCTCATCCCCCACCTCCCCTGCCCTCTGCAGGCTCACTGGGACAGCTCTGCCCCTTCCCTCCACAGCAGACAAGGCACCAGGACTTTAAAATGCTCAAAATACACCTTTCATTTCTGTTGAATCTTCCAGAGTTGTGATCATCAGCTGAACACACCAGTTATGGGGTTTTTTTTCCACCTATTTTCTTATTAAAAGCCTCACATAAAATTTCCCTTATTTGCACTTGCAAAGGAGGAAACCCTTGAGACACAAGTGGGACAAACATAAAGGTCAACGAGCACAGCAGACAAGCTGCAGCCCCAACAGCTTCTTGTGGAATCACAGGAATAAGGAAGGAATGACAGAAGTCACTTTGAAAAGACTCATTGTAATTATGAAAGACATTACAAAAGATTTTGTCACTGATGGTTTTTGGGTCTACCATTTACAAGATATGTGAATTTACCTGCTCAAAGACTATCTGATCTACTGAATCCACTGTGTCAAACACATTTGTGCACCTCGTGCTAAAAAGAAGTTTAGAAAGGAACCTTCACCTTACCCTGAATGTGCTGTCAAGTGTCTGAACTACTGAGCCCACCAAACCTGGAATTGGGACATTCCCTTTACAGCTCTGCAGCCACTCTGGTTACTCTGAACAACACTTGTGGCTCTCAGGCCCATCATGGGGTGGTTTGGATTGATTTTCAGTCTAGTCTGACAAACAAAACTCCACCCTGAAACAAGACTGAGAATTTCCTCATACCATTAACAAAGCTGACAAGAGAATACTGTTTCCTCCCCCCTCTAAAACTGTGAGAACAGGACAAAAGTAACAAAGGAAACATTAATTTGGGGGCTTTATTTAATTTTCTCTTTTTTTTTTTTGCTTTTTTTTTGCCTTTTTTCAGATGCTACATAGTCAAACAGGATTGGTCTTTACGGCATAGGACTAATTTACTACTAATAGTTTTTTTTTCCCCTAGATAGACTTATTTACATACAAAACCAGTTTCCTGACCACTGTTTCTCCAATGCTCAGATGATCAAAACTCCCCAACAATCGTGTAGTGCCCAAAAACACCAGGAGGCAGAAGAATCTTTGCACCACTACAGCAGCAAACGTTTAGTTCTAGTCACTGGCTTTAACAGGTGCCTTGGATACCACATAGTATTAGTTCCGTGACAAGGAGGAAACATGAGATGAAATACATTAAATAAGTTAAATATGCATTAAACATCTCTGAAGAACATCTTAATTCAACTAAATGAACCAACAGCAATGTAGCTTGGTCCCTCGGGGAGCACAAGGCCACAGCCCTCGGTGCCTCTCGCTGCCTCCCACAGCCACAGCCACTTCTGCCCAGCTTCCCACCACTCCCTCAAGTGCCAAGAACTTGGGAACCTGCACAGAGGTGAAGACACTGACAGAAACTGTTCAATTCAGGAGCAGAACGGTGGCTGAATGTTATTTTACAGAAGTTATCAACACCTCCTGCCTAACCACCCACTCCAAACATCCCTAGGGCCAGCTCCAGCACTGGAGGAAGAGGTTTTTCTAGTTTTCCTTTTTTTTCCTTTTTTTTTTTTTTTTTTAAAAAGAGGTAATCCAGCAACATGTACCAGGGTCTAAGAATGTTTAAAATGACATATACAATATTCCATTGTAGTGTTAAATCACGATTTTCTTCCCCCCCTTTCATCACTGAAGCCTATTCTCTTGCATTCGTTCCCTCATGACAGGTTTGAAACTTTCTAGATTATGTTACATAGTATTTGTGCAGGGGTAATTTAAAGGCAAGACCTGTGAGATGTCATACATTGATTTTTTTTCTTTTTTTTTTTAAACATCGTTATGAATAAATTTAATCCAATGATATGGCAGAACCATCAAACCAATTTACAATTTCCAGCATGCTGCCTCTACAAGGCTATTTTTCCTATAATTACACCAAAGACAAAGAACAAAACCACCAAAGCAAGTAGTCTGGAGCTGAGCCCTTCATCCTTGACAGCAGCTGCAGAAGCAGATATTGGGTTGTTTGTCTGGGGGACCTTCCTCATCCGCAGACCATCTTCTTCCTGAGGGAAGAGACAGGGATTACTCCCACACAACTCAGTATTCCCCCTCAGCAGATTTATTTAGGTGGGTCTTAGACAATGAGTGCAGCTAATTTACAGCTCTATTTCCTAAATATTCCTGAGAAGGAAAGGGCAGTGAGGGAGAAGTGAAGCTAATTTACAGTTCTATTTCCTAAATACTCCTGAGAAGGAAAGGGCAGTGAGGGAGGAGAGGAATTCTGTATCTACTCAGCTAGTAGAGCAAAAGCCACAGCCTTGTGGAAGTAGGAGAGGAATTCTCTATCTCCTTGACTAGCAGAGCAAAAGCCACATGTGCCTGGGAGTTCTCTCCTGCTACAGGAACAGGGGAAGGCAAGAAGAAGCCTGCAAGAACTCTTGTCCAAAGTGCAGAGACAGCTCCAGCACTTCAGACAGAAATGATGGAGGGAATGGCATGAAGATGCATTTCTTGCTCTGTCAGCAAACAAAGTGCTGTTGGGGAAAATGGTTCTCAATATAACTAAGTCAGAGCTGCATGTTTGTCACAACCTAAGGCAACTGCAGTCATCATTCCCCTAGTGAGATGTCACAAACAAATTCCCTCAGCCTTTGAAGGGAAATCTATTCCCCCTCGTATCAACACTGACATTTTGACGTGAAATTAATGGCAATAATTAGGGTATTTTCTTGGTAGGAGTTTGACAGCTGAATTGATTTGAAGATGTATAATCCAAGAGATAAAACAAGGTAACACCAGCAGATACAATTTCTAGTGGAGATGATGCTCCCCACACCTTGACCCAAGCTGTGTGTTAGCACACTGCACTCCACACACACACACTCAGCAGAGGGTAAAATGAGCATTTTGTCTCCTAATTTGTGTCCAGCTGAAGCAACAGGGTTAGACTTTTTAATGTGATACAGTATTATGGTGCAAAAAGCCTCCAGTCTGTACATAAAAACCATTCAGGAAACCAAACTGTAATCAAAGTTCCTGCAGCAACTGTCAGAGGAGTGGAATTCAAAAGGCTCAGGATTGTCCCTCTGACAGTGACTACAGCCTGACACTGCCAGCACCTGGAGCTGCAGTGATTTAGCACTGCTTTCTGGTGTCTAACAGTGTTCCTAACACCACTTTGGGATGGCACTGTACAGCAGCTCAGCTCTAGATAGCTCCTGTGGAGTGTTTAGCCAAGACTGATTTGCAAAAAACATGAAATAAGATCATACAGAACTTAGTGAGTTGCTGGCAAAACAAGAACACAAGGAGAAGTTAAGGTCATGTCTCTGTTATATACATCTATTATTTCTATGTGCAAAACAACAGTTTTAAGGAATTTCTCCATGCATCAGCCAACCAAGCAGCAGCAGAGCAGGCAGGACAGAGTTCCTTTCACTGGGCTCTAACAAGTCACAAAACCCAAACCTTTATTGGTGCTGATATCTATGAAACTAGACTTTACAACAAATGAAACTCCTGAAAAAGGAGTTTTTCAGCACAGTGATAAAGGCTTCTCAATTTCTTGATTTCCCAGCAATGTGCTGGATATGACAGGAAACACATTCCCCATTAATCTTCCTTAATTTGGCCATTTCAACGGCACATTACAGGTGCAATTACTCAAACACTCAGTGTTTGCACAACACTGCCCTCAAGCTCCCATTGGTTTGGGAGAACAGGGCCAAATCCAACACTGAATGCTTAATTCAGACTGAGAAAATGAGGTGGGAAAAGCAAAAAAAGAGAGGGAATTCATGACTTTGGTTTGCCATCCAATCAGTTTCTCTGACTGCATGACTTGTCCACACTCCTGTCAAAGGAAGCATTGATTTCAGCACCTTTCACAGTCTACAGGGAGGAACCTAAATTATCTCTGATAGACAATGTTAAAATACTGTGCTAAGGTCAGGTAATCAAACCTTGAAGTTGGAAGCTTCTTTTTCAGGAAAGGAATAAATCTGCAAAGAAAACAACACAGATCTTTACCTTAAACTGTTTATTCTCCTCCCGTAACCTCTGAACTTCTACTTGAAGCCTCTTATAGTCTTCCATTACTTTCTTAACTTCATTGTCATCCAAAGAAGAACTTATTGATTTAGACATTACAGAGGAATCTGTCTTTGTTGCAGTTGTGGATACAATTTTATTTATTTCTATGTCATGCTGTTAAAAAAGGATAAAGTGATTGTTGGTTAGTCACTAACACCACACCACACACCTGATATCTAGGAGGACAATCAGGTGAAATTGTCTGTGCACACCTGAAACGTGCCTGTAGCAAAAGAAACAAACAACAGTTTTCTTTCTGTACCCTCCACTGCAAACACCAGAGCAGCAGCAATAAGTGCAGGCACAATGAACTCAACTTTTCAGTCCCTGATCTATAGGAAGGGAAATGTCTTTAGACCACATCCCACAATATGAATGGGAACTTGCTCTACCTCTGGAGTTGTAGTGATCTCCTCACCTCTCCCTCCCCAAGCAGCTGCTCCAGGAACCAGGTTACTGCCAGGAACTCCCTCCCTGCTCTGCTGCAGTTCCCTCTCTCCTCACTCCCCACACCTGCCGTCA